ATGGGAACCGGAGGGTCGCCTGTTCGAGTCCCCGTCCGGACCAAAATGGAGCGTGGACTGGTGGCTGGAGAGGTGCCAGTTCACCTCCTGGGCACTGCCGAGGTGCCCTTGAGCAAGGCACCGAACCCCACAACCGCTCGGGGCGCCTCACCAAGGGCAGCCCCCTCACTCTGACATCTCTCCACTTTGTGCATGTATAGGTCCTGTTTGTGCATGTGTGTGTCTTTCGGACCTGTGTGTAATTGACAAGCAAGAGTGAAAACATTGAATTTCCGCTCAGGGGGATTAATAAAGTAAATAAACTTAAACTTAAGTTATACTAGAGGCCGACACTGTTGTGTTTCATGGCATGCCCGTCACACCTTTTTTGATTCCCTGATGCCAGCATGTTGTCTAAAATAACACAATGGAGCAGAGTGATGCTGCTGTTGTTTGGTTCTGTGTAAAAATGTAAAGGCAGCATAAAGAAGGGACTTAGTGGCAGCTCTACAGCGCCTTCTCTATGTAAAAAGGGCTAATTTTTGCTGTAATGGCACCTCAACTTCGGAATAGTCTTCCAGTTCGTATTCAATCTGTGGACATTGTTTCTGCTTTTAAATCCTGCCTTAAATAAACAATTCACCCCAAATCAAAAATACATATTATCCCTTTTGCCTGTAGTAAAATGTATCAGTCTAAATTGTTTTTGTTCAGGTGTAGAGATGCCTGCCTTCTCTCCAATATATACAAACTGGACTTGGAAAACACTGCTGCGTACCATCTGGCATGGTGACTTGCTGCTGGGCACCTCCTCCTCCAGCAATCGAGTCAGGCCAGAAGCGCTGCAGTGGTCGGTTTTGCGGGGTCTTCTTCTTGGCTTTTGGTGTCTCAGAGGAGCTGGCGTCCAACATTGGCTGCAGGATCCGCCTCCGTGCATTTATAAACCTGCAGACAAAAGACAACTCAGATCTGAAATTTGCTTTTGTAGTTTCTTGCAGGTGTTGAGGACCTGTACACCTCTAGTCCTGATCCGCTGAGATGAAATCATCTCCCCCTAGAACTGGACAGGATGTCTGAGCCCAGTCTGTTATCCATCAAAGTCAGCTTTATTTTTATTGTCAGTGAACAATAAGATGGGCAAACTACATAGAGTTGCATTTCCTTAAAGGTCCTAATGCAGCAAGTAAAAGCAGAAATTATTCATGGTTGACTTTTAAAGCCAGCTTGTAAACTTTCATCTCTTCAGGTGTGAGGGCAGACAATTAGTTGACTGACTCTTTAGTTTTCCACAGTGGCTAAAAAAGGAAATGACATGTGAGACATCCCCGGCCAGACATGACTTTGGATGGTGCATTTTAATGGTACTGGATTGTGTGTATCTGGACCAAACTCACCAGTTGTTGACCTGCAGAAGTGTCAAATTTGTCTGTGTGGCAATTTGTTTCTTTTCATCCTCTGTTGGATATGGGTGCTACAGAAGCGAAGGGAGGAAGAAATGCTTCAGTGTTTTTGTTGAAGATTGAAGAGTTACACTGGCAAAGGAAAGATGAACTCAGACTCACCCCAATGTGCTGGAAGAGCCACGAGCGCATGACATTGGTGGCGTGCTTGGGTAGAACGCCACGTTTGTTCTTGGTTGAGTTGTCGTCATGATTAAAGAGGTTCAAGTCCTGGTGAAACTGCAGCTGGAGCTGAACAGACACAGATACGTTAAGCCACCTGTCTGTCTGTTTATGTCACCAGGAACATCTTTTAAATTTCCAACCCTCCTTCACATGATTTGAATTTAGATTTCAGTTTTGATTTAGAATATACAAAAGTGTCACAGTCAAATGAGAGAAGTACAACCTGATTGTTTTGGACGCGTATTGTCCCAGGAGACAGAGCCTGTGTTACCACCTGGCCCTGAGGCGTGACGACTGTAACAGGCTGGAACACTGTTCCACCTGGACACGGACACACACACACACACACACACACACACACACACACACACACACACACACACACACACACACACACACTTTAATATAACCTGCTTAGCTGAAGAGTGCAGGCTGCAAAGAAAGCTCTGATGAAGGTGTCCCACTGGTGCATGACAACTGAGCTGCAGTCAAAACAGTACAATACCTGAGGGAGGGGTTGTATGCCATGGTGACATACCTGCGACCACCTGGGTGGGGTTGACAGCTGTCACGGTAACGTTCCCTTGCTGCAGGGCTGATGCTGGCACCACGATTTGACCCTGGGGACTGATGGTCCCTGAGATAGAGCCGGAGGTCTGCGTAACAGAGAACACAACACAGAATCGGCCAAAGTCACAGGCATGTGTTCCATGTGGATAGCTCTTCGTGGCTCTGATTTAAAACTTTTTAATACTGTGTAGAAAAAGAAATGAAATAAGCTTAAATCCATTAAAACTATGACAAAAAATGTTCGTCAATTACATTTTTTTCCATGACAAAGACAAGATGTTGATAAGCAGAAAATAGATCTTTGATTGTTAAAAAAAAAGTTAGAATGTCTGTTTTGGTTTCGGTGATGAGATTATATGGGGTTAAAATGTTAGTGGTGGGCTGCTAGACACTTAAAATGAGAGGAGAGGATAATAGAATAATAAATGATTTTCTGAAACATATTAGAATAATGTTTTAAACTAAGAAGGCAAGAACAGCTGTGCATGGAATTAATTTCTAATGTTCTACAAGTGGTATGAGACTGGAGCGCCAAAAAGATGGGAAACACCAGTAAATAGTCAGCAAAAGGATGTTTCACTAGCCTGCAAAACATTCACGTGTCTGATGTCAGCTGAGTTGTGAACCGTAACTCCACAGTAAATAGCCAGTCTGTGTGACTGTGAATGGTGAAACTGCTCAGTGTATTTGTGGAGTTTGTTTGCTAGCTAGCTTACTTGTTAGCCACTGAACCGCAACAGAGCGAGCAGCCACTGGACTTGGCAGGTAGGATGCTTGATTATCTGAGAGTGTAGCTGTGCTGTATGTAAACAAGTGTGTGCTCATAAATCATCATTTAAAGTTGTCAAAAACTTTGCTGGAGAAATGCAGATTTGTAAATGACAATATAACCTGCCACCCTGATTCTATTTTCCAATAACCTGTTTTAGCCTAACTGAATTTGTTGAAAGAGAAATCATTTTGACTAAAAGTTGACTAATATGTAATGACTTTTTGTTGACTAAAACTGAGCTAAAACTATGAAGGACAAAAATAACTAAAATGTGACTAAAACGTGGAAACGTTTTTGTCTAAAGACTAAGACAAAGTCTAAAATAGCTGCCAAAATTAACACTGTGATGCATACAGTTCTTACCGGAGTCTTGGTGGGTGAAAAGCCCTGGACCTGGCTTTGTACGGGGGAATACGGGCTCCCTGGCTCTCCACTCAGCAGAGTTTCACTGTTCATCTTAGTCTTGAGGCAGGCGATGTAGCGGCTGCAGAAGTCCTTACACAGGTCACTCACCTTCTCCAGCTCCAGCAGGTGGATCCGCAGCACTTGGATGGCTTTCACCATCTAGAGGCCAGAAGTATTAAAAAAAAAAAAAAAAAAAGGTTTGTAGCAATCTACATATA